TTATCAATAAATCCATTCGATATCAATTTCTTCTTGAAAATTCCTTTATACCATAAGAAGGCTTGTTTTCAAGTAGGGGTTCAATCATATTTCAAGTATGATTTTGCATTATGGATTCTATATTGCTATTGATAATATCTTTCCAATGATGTTCTTCCAGAGCAGATATCGCTTCATGTCTTAAGATCATTTTCTATCATATAAGTTGGAAAATCAAGGCCATATGATGTAGATGTTCCAGTCTTTTTACTATGCCTGGTTTCTTCATTACTTAGAGCAGTACCGTTTACAGTTTTAAAAGTTTGCTTGTTTGAACTTATTTTGTACTTACTTGATTCAATGAAATCGCCTTCATGTATGTCTTATATATCAAACTTATGGACAAGAAATCGATATGCACTATTGTTATTGGTGTATTCAATAAATATGCAATTAATTTTCTTAGGCCTAAATTTAACTTTGGTTTTGTTACTTTAACCTTAGCTAAATACCCAAACTTTCAAGTATTTGTAAGAAGATTGATGACCTTTCCATAATTCATGTGAAGTTTCATCCATTTTCTTTTGTGCATTTTATTAAGAATGACATTTGATGAAAAGACAATTTCCCCCACATGTTTTAGGTAGACCTAAACTTATCAACATAACGTTCATCATCTCCTTAAGAGTTTGATTTTTTTGCATTCAACAATACCATATGATTAAGGTGAGTAGGATGCCATTGTTTGATAAATAATGCCATATTCTAAATATAATTCTTCAAATGGTGTCCCATATTCTCCTCCTCTATGGCTTCGAATATTCTTTATTCATTTATTAAGTTGATTTTCAACTTTAGTCTTCTAATGTTTGAAAACATCTAAGGCCTTCTGTTTGCAAATGCAAGAATTTTGCAAATGTTTGGTACATGTAGAACAATGTTGAGAACGAGTTATTCGTCGAAAGTCATCCTCAAAGTCACTTTTCATTATCCTTCAACTTTCAAACTTGCAGACTTTCTCATGAAAAGTTATTCTCCATTGAGTTCTTTGTAGTTTGAGAACATTGCCTTGTCGGTACAAATGTGGTGGGTAGGACAAATATCAATCTACCATTCTCTTGGATTTTCAATGTTGTTGCATTGAGAAATAACCGTAAATAAGCTCATCTCTTGTATCCCTTCAGATAAGGTGTCTCCTTCAATCATATACGTTTGTGCATTTTTCTTAGGCTTACGATATTCACTTGTACGATGTCCTACTTTTCACAATTATAGCAATTGCCTTTGAACTTCTGTTGTTTTCTCTCTTTGGTGCATCACTGAAGAGCTGGCTCTTTTTGTTGATCCTTGAACAGAATTCCACTAAACTGGTCTTCGTTTGCCCAAATTGAGCACCAAATTTCCTTTCGATATTTCTGTTGTCTTCTTCTATATTAGTCAAACAATAAGTTTTTCTAAGTACATCTTTTGATGTTTATACTTGAGATAGTTTTGAAATCTATCCATAAATAAGGGAGTTTCTCGATGATAGTAGCAACTTAGAATAACTCACTCAAATTCATCTTCTCGTTATGTATGTCCCGTAAAAGAACCTACAGTTCTTGGACTTGACCAATGACGGCTTTGGAGTCTATCATCTTGTAGTTGAGGAACTTTTCGACGATGAATTTCTTCATGCCGACATTTTCTATTTTGTATTTTTTCCTAAAAGACTCCCAAAGTTCATTTACAAATTTCATAGCTTTATACGCTATGTATAGTATGTTGTCCAACCCATTTAGGATATTATTTTTGTATAAAAAGTTCGAGTGCTTCCACATCTTTTGATGTTTATACTTGAGATAGTTTTGAAATCTATCCATAAATAAGGGAGTTTCTCGATGATAGTAGCAACTTAGAATGACTCACTCAAATTCATCTTCTCGATATGTATGTCCCGTAAAAGAACCTACAGTTCTTGGACTTGACCAATGACGGCTTTGGAGTCTATCATCTTGTAGTTGAGGAACTTTTCGATGATGAATTTCTTCATGCCGACATTTTCTATTTTGTATTTTTTCCTAAAAGACTGCCAAAGTTCATTTACAAATTTCATAGCTTTATACGCTATGTATAGTATGTTGTCCAACCCATTTAGGATATTATTTTTGTATAAAAAGTTCGAGTGCTTCCTTATGGATGCAATAATCGATTCTCGATTATTCTCTCCTTTTTGTACTGCGTAAGGATCTTTGGTAAGAAACTTTGCCAAATTTAAAGTGGTGAGATAGAAAAACATCTTTTGTTGCCATCTCTTAAAATCTACTCGGCTGAATTTCTTCAATTTTTCCTCATGTGTAGTAGTTTGAAGTGGTTAGCCATAGAAGGAGCTGTACTTGTTGTCCCATTTGTGGTTTGACTAGAATTAGTCCCAACGATCTCTATTTTTGTTACAAAAACAAAAGTTTATAACAACAAAGTTGAAGAAAAGAATATCAATGTTTATGTCATTCCAACTAAATGAGGAGATTCAAAATATAAGCAAAGCAACAAAAAGTTCGTTTTAAAATAAGTGGTGTATATATGTGAGTTTGCAAATTATATTTTAATAACTTAAACAAGGTAAGCACGTTAGGGATGACAATGAGGCAAGTTCCCTCGCCCATTTAAGGCGTGGGGCCCTATATACATACCCATTTAAGTTTATATATATATATATAATTTATTTTATTGCCTCCATTCATTAAAGTGAGACAATAATATTATTATTAAATTTTTTTGTTAATTTATTTATTTTTAAAAGTTAAATTATTCGAATATATTTGATAAACTAAGGTTTCTATTGTCTATCATATTACTTAGATAATATTAATTATTATTTTCTATTACAATTAATGAAATTTTATAGAATTTTCCATTTATAGTATTCAATTCTTAAAAAAAATAAAATAAAAAAATAATTGGTCAAGGCGGGTGTTACCCCGTACCCACCTCAGGACAAAATTCCCCCACTAAAATATCCGATTAAGTGGGTAATTCCCATCCCGTTAGGGATGAGGCCCGTGGGTATTGGCTTTGACAAGTTTTCTTGACATCTTTAAAACACTTACTTGGAATGACAAAGATAAGTAGCAGAAATGAAGAAAAATATTGAATTTTGTAAACCGAGGCTAGTGTTAAACACTATTTCTTTAAGACAAATTTGTCCTGTCAAGATGCTCACGGTGTCTTGATAATCGTCTTCCAAGATAAAACAATTTCCTCCTTATTATAAAAGTGCTTCAAACAACAAGGAACCACGAACTCGAAATTGAAAAATATTCTCTATTTTGATTGATATTTAATTTGGCTGGGTATGGTTCAGTTTGGTTCGATTTTAACGTGAATTAAATCAGATTCGAAATTTTCGAGCATTTAGTAAATGGAACCGTCGGGTTCAAATTTAATTATCGAATCATTCAGGTTCGATTCAGTTTCGTTCAGGTTCGACTCAGTTTCATTCAGTTATTGGGTTCCGTACTATAATTAATTTTTTTAATATTTACAAAACTACATTAATTTAACTAATGACATGTTTAACTTTAGCTCTTACAAAATAATGTAGTCCAATTTTATGTGTCTTTTACATCCCTCTTTGCTGAGTTCTTCATAGATTTGTTTGTTAAAATCGTATAAAGAGGAAGACAGCAAGCTCATAATAATAAAGAGAGATGTTGTCGAGTTTCAATTCGATTTCTCTAAGATGGTAAAAAGGGCCCTATAGTAGAATAACAAATTTGGGTAAAACTTAAGTCAATTTGATTAAGTTGGTTTGGATTGAAAATTAGAAATGTGAAAATCATAATTTTGAGTTTAAACTAAATTAACTAGTTAAGAAATTTATTTAGGAAAAAATAATTTGACTTATTTAAAATACACTAATTAAAAAAATTAGGAAAATTTGACTCTTATTCGGTTATTCGGTTCTTGATCTAGAATCGATAATTAAACCAAATCCATTGGTTCTCGATTCAAATACACATTCGAGTATTTAACTTAGCCCCGTTTGGCCCCTATTTTTCCAAATTAAAATTGATTGAATAGTATTTTTTAGAGAATGAGTGGTTGAAAAAGAAGAAAAATATTTCGGTTTGCATGTAATATTATTTTATGAAAGATTATGTGATTAAAAATTGGAGAGAAAATAATGAAATTTAATTTAATAGGAGCCAAACGGGGGCTTAAAAAGAATTTCTTAGTTCGATTCAATTCGTTTCGATCCATTCGGTGGATTCGATTCGGGAGTTTTATTCTGTCCTAATTTTTAATGCAAGAAAATTCTTAATTTTGCATTGATTTAGAGTAATATGATCAATGCATATGATATGGAATGATTTTAGACCACGTATGGAGTCCAATTTATAAAGGTTGTGAGGTTGTGGCAAAAGAAACATGTCCCAAAATTTAGCTTGTTTTATGAGCAATCACAATGTTCAGACTGCTCACTAACCTCCCAATTGATCACTTGAGCGATTTTTTTTAGTGAGTTGGTTGCTCACTATTTGTGAGGCGACCGCTCAAGCAACTAGCTTATATATGAAATTCTCGTTTTATTTCATTTATTTAACCTCACTTTAGACATCAAATTTTCATTCATACGGAATTGGTTTCGTGAATTCAAATAAAACATAATCATATGCTCGACGAGTAGAACGCGTTTGTCTATTCATATGCATAAATTGACCACCGAAACATATAATTTGATCTAAGTAGATACAAAAGCAATATTTTATAAACCAATTTCCTCCAACAACAAATTTACCTTCTTTCTTAGTTATATTCAACATTGTCCGAACAAGTATACTGAACATAACAATATGATTATCTATAGATGAATTTCAATATCAAGTTCAAGTAATACTTAGAAATCTCATAGGTCCAAATGTACAACAGCATTGGCCAGTCATTCTATTATCAACTTGCCCAATTATCATTGTCCCCACATATCCTTCCTAGCAAAAGACACTAAAACCTTATCCTTAAATTCAGAGAATTACAAAAATAATAAATAAACTTATTTATTTTCTCCTCTCCCCATATTCTTCTCTCATTGACTACTTTGTAGCAACAATGGCAGCATTAAGCTGCAAATTTCGTCCCAGAACCTTTATACACTGCAAAATTTTCACAAAAATCCCTTCCATCTCTTGTTCTTTCCAGCCCTCTCAAAGCAGCATCAAGGTAACAATTTTCTAGTCCCATATTTCTTTTTCGTTGCTCAGAATAGTGAGATATTAAGATTGATTTTGTTAAATTTGATACCAAACCTCATATTCGGTTTTGAGATTAGTAGACCTAAAAACCCTTATCATGTTCTAAATGTCATTAAAAAAACGAAATGTCAAAGTAAAAAAGTACTTTTTTTTATTAATTTACCATAAATCTAAGATATATTTTTTTTTCCATTGTGAAAAAAAGGTAATCATAAATGGAGCAGCTAAGGAAATAGGTAGGGCAGCTGTGTTAGCTGTAACAAAGGCAAGAGGAATGGAAGTGGCTGGTGCAATTGATTCATACCTAATTGGAGAAGATATAGGAAAGGTTTTTTTTGTTAATTTTTCCCATTTTTTATTTTTTATTAATGTTAATATTATTTCTTGGGTTAATTTTGAGTTTTATTGTCCTAACAATTTTATTATTGGTGTAGGTCTGTAACATGGAAGAGGCTTTGGAAATTCCCATAATAAATGATCTGACCATGGTCTTAGGTTCCATATCCCAGGTGACACTAAAAGTTGCACCCTTATGTCTCATTAACTAATAATATTCTTATATACAAAGGACTTCTTGCAACTATTTCTAGTATGGAAAGATTTATCTGTTAAGCGACGATCCTTTCACTCGACTTATTGTTCAGTAAGGAAAGATTATTAAGTACGAATTTCTTGGCAGAGTAAAGCAACTGCAGTTGTTGTGGATTTCACTGACCCTTCAACGGTTTATGACAATGTTAAACAGGTTCAATTTTAATTACATTACCATAACCAGTTGAGTCTGCACTTACAACATTGCACAATACAAGATCTTAACTTCCTTAATCTTGCGCGATTTAATTCTTGGGATTTTCCTATGTTGATTCAACAGGCAACAGCTTTTGGAATGAACAGTGTGGTTTATGTGCCTCGTATCAAGATGGAGACAGTTTCGACATTATCTGCATTTTGTGAGAAAGCCAGCATGGTGAGCACAGGGTGAGAATTCATATTATTGAACTAAAAGCTCGAGTTAAAGCTATTGGGACGGATTTATTTATATTATATCTTTAACACGTCCTTTCATGTGCAAGATCTTCAAAAATTTGACACGAAGTTTAAAAATTAATAAAAGTGAAAATTGAATCCGAACTTGAATTATAATTGTTTCAAAATACGAACTCCATGAATTCAATCAAGTACCATTCTTGTTTTGTGGAAGATCCTCTAAGCATTATTGCCAGTCAAGCAATCTAGAAATAATCTTAAATGTGCTCGCGGATGATATTTTGTGAACACATAATAATGACCCATCTTTGCATCAATGTACAGTTTCATGAAGCTTGAATTCTAGCAAATAATAACGTTGAGAATTGAATTATAGGGTTGTCTGGTAGCTCCGACTCTTTCAATAGGATCAATACTTCTGCAGCAAGCTGCGATTTCAGCCTCATTTCATTACAACAATGTGGAGATTGTTGAATCAAGAGCCACTGCAGTGGTAAGTCAAATTATCCTTATTAAGACTTGGGCTTTCATATTAAAAGATTAATATTGTTAAGATGAGAAATTCAAATCCTTACATATTAGTCGATATGGGTAAGTCAAATCATTCTTATTAGGATTTTAGTTTCCATCTTAAACGATCAACCTTGTTACTATACAAATCCTTAGATATTAATCTATATTTCATTTTTAATCGATGGAGGATTTATCCCTTAACATACATTTGAAAGTTGTTAGCTCGTTTAAGCAAATCAATCTTTAAATTCATATGCTTGTTGAGTTTTAATCGGATCGAAATGCTCATTACAGCTTAATAGGCTCAAATACCAAATTAAAACTTGGGATTTCATATTGAAAGATCAACATTGTCTAAGGGAGGAATCCAACCCTTATATATTGGTTATATTTTGGTATTTAATCGATGTAGAATTTATTTCTTGACAATTCTAGGCCATTGTGTCTGTCGTTTTATTACTAAAATGGTCGTGTCAGTAAAGGCCATCTATAAAACCAATATGATCTGTACGGATCGGGTTGGATATCCACCCAATAAACTTGACCAGCTCGAAAATAAAGAAGGAAACGACACCTCGACTACTAAAAGCTTAAGACCTATTAGGGAATGTTTGGTTCATTGTACTGTATTAGACATGACTAAAGAATAAAGTTATTTCATAACATTTATAGTTGTGATTTCAACTCTCATTCAATACATCATACTAGTCACACTGATATCTACTCGTATTTGATATGTTTCCACGGGTAATCTTATAAGAAAGCCTCTTGCTTTTTGGGGAACAGGATTTTCCATCACAGGATGCAATGCAAATAGCAAACAATATTTCTAACCTTGGTCAGATATACAATAGAGATGACATTTCAACAGATATTCGGGTGAGCAATCCAAACTAAATCCCCATTTTGTATAAAACAAGAAGAAAATAAGTCTAATCTCAAAAAATTTGGAGTCGAGTAAATGAATCCTTTTCACTTCAATTCATCGCCCTACCTACTGAATAATCTACTGATGAATCCTCTTTGGACCAATGCATAAAACCATCTTGTGCTCAACAATTTTTTCGTCATAAAAGGCGAGGGGTCAAGTTCTGGGGGAAGATGGAGTAAGAGTGCACAGCATGGTTCTTCCTGGTCTCCCATCTAGTACGGCTGTCTACTTTTCCCGGCCAGGGGAGGTACGTGCTTCTTTGACAAGAAGTCTAATCCTATCGGGTCTAATGCTATGCACTAAACATGTCATTTTTTGTCTTTTTGTCTCTCTAAAAAATGGTTTGTAGGTTTACACGCTGAAACACGATGTCACGGATGTTCAGTGTCTCATGCCAGGCCTAATTCTGGCCATCAGAAAAGTTGTGCGCCTCAAGGTACTTATTAATACATTCAAAAACATCAATTTTCCATTTCTTGAAACAAAAAATCAGTTTATCATTTAACCATTGATCCCTTTACCTCGGCAGAATCTGGTGTATGGCCTGGAGAAATTTTTGTAGAAACTAAGGGTTGACAAGCTCCATGGCACACTGTTTACTACTTCAACACGAAGGAATCTCTTTAATGTGATGCAAATACATCTTATTTTACCTTTGATAAGAGTTTAATTTCTCTATCAAAAATACCAATTGGAGTTTATCCCATGATAGATGAGAATCTTGAAGTTGGAGATTGTTTCTGAGAAAAAAAAAAGTTACCTTTTTTCATGAATGAACATAGTCATGCTCCAATTCATGACTTTCTATCGGCGAATTATGTCATTTTTCCTGCTTCCGTTAGGAGATGCAGTCGATAAATTTTAAGTAAAATGATCGAGTTACTCAATGTCACTATTCCTGGAACAACTTAAGAGTTGGGCCTTGTTTCCCAACATTTCACTCAGGAAGAAAAATTAATCAAAATGATTTTTCAATTCCAACGCAGTATATTGTGTAAGGATTTTTTAATTAAAGATGGGCTTGTATGTGTGAATAATTGTGCTTTAAATTATAGGCTATCAAATTCGGTTGAGCCCAATTAAAGTGATCTAATAAGACTTCGATTTTGGGCTTTAATGTATCCAATTAAAGTATGGGTTTACATATGTGTAGAGACCGGGCCCAAGTCCTAATTCTATGATGGGCCGAATTAGGTCAAAGGGCGTCCTTATATAAATAGGTTATGGTCTCCAGATCACACGCACGTATTATTCATTCTCTACTGTATCCCATCACAGAGAGAAAAAGGAGACTGCGTCTAGATTTGAAAGACTATACCGCGAAATTCATATTGCAATAACCATGTCTGATTCAGATACGCTTTCGCTTTAATTCTTATATTTTTTGATGATTTAACATGAAAGATCCGATAATTTAAAGCACTAAATTATCCAACATATTGACCTTACTGTGTTGTAATTATTAGATGAACGTAACAAGTGAATTCCTGTACTTACTACATACATATTTTGGACAACCTAAAAATAACCATGTATTCATAGACAGCTTGCGATGGGACTATGTTTCCTTCACAGGTAGGAGAGCATAAACAATCTCAAACTATTTTCCATTGGTGAAAAATTGAGTAATAAGCGTATTATTTGATCGTGAGAACATTGGTGGAGTGACATTTTATCTATGAATACGTAGCAAAATATCACCGAATCTAATATTAATGCTACACAGAATCTTTAATGAACAATTATTTTGTTGGATTCTTTTTTAAACAGAGGGCTATTTCATCCAAAAAAAAAAAAAAAAAAGTCATTTTAATATTTATTGGTTAACATATATAGATGTTTCTTTGTACGGTGTGTAAGTACTTTTAATATATAATTAATGCAATTTTATGACAGATCTATTATTTAATTAATATTTAATTAAATTAAATAATAAAGTCCATAGATTCAAATCTTATTAATTTGTTAATCACAAATAGTTGTGATCGTGAGATATAAATTACATATAATTGAATCTTAAATCATCCATAGTCATAAGTAATAACAAGATGCGGAGATAGATCATCACGTGTGACATTTCTTAGTTTTGAAGTAAGTAGTTGATCTCATAAATTAAAATATGATATCAATTAAATGAACCTATTGATGTTTTTTTATAGAACAAAACATTCGCGATTCGTTGGGAAATTCTACGTGGATAATTATCTGAGAGTCAGTGGTTAATATCTAATGTTCAGTAGTGGAATTGATCTTTCGACTTGAGATTATCATAGTACCTTATACGAAGATAGTCATACTTTGATGATGTAGTATATTGCTCTGCCAAGGACCGCTAATACAACATCATTCGAGTATGGAATTATATGAAGGTTATGAATGATCAATAGAGGATTCTTCATTTTTAGATAGTAAGAAATTATAGTCTACATTTCATCCAGTTAAATCAATAATGAAGTCATTGGTCAAGGTGTACTCATAAGTCGAAAATGAGTTTTTGACTTATATTGGTTTAATAGTGTAATAAAAGATATGATCGATAATTGAGATTGATACATATCCATATCTCGTAATTGATCGGATCATATTGACGAAAGGATTATAGTTTCACAGTAACGAATAAGTTCATTTAGTTATATCACGTGACATTTCTCGTCACATGCATTTTTTTAACACAATGCTAGATGTCAATTTGGGATGACGGATGTAAATTAGTGATAAATAAAATAGGGTTTTAATTTATCGATTTTGATTATGTCAAAATAATAATTCACGTCGTTAGGTATTGTGATTGAGAATCTAATGGGTCACACACAAAATGAGAACTAGAATAATGAGATTTACCAATTAATTAATTAACAAGCGTTGGATAATTAATTAATTGAGTTGCTTATTAATAACCGAAATTAATTAATTGGATTAATTAATCTATGAACCAAATTTAATTAATTGGATTAGTTAAATATTGGATCGAATTAAGTTATAAGAGGACTTATATAAATAAGCTACTAGAATTTGAAAATCGGTAGAGAAAATTTTAGCACAAGAAAAGTAAAAACCTTAGTTTTCTCAATCGTTTTCCCTGTGTGGATTTTCATTGGAGGCTGGATAATTGTGACAATTACGAATTGTAGATCGTGATTATTGGAGTTCAAAAAAAGTAGAGAAGTTTACAGAATTCAACAAAGATATAATTTCTATCACAATTTCTATTTAAATAGAAAGCAGATCATTTATAGAAATTGAAATTTTTTTTAAATTTCTCTATGCATGATGTTGACCCCAAAAAGTGCGCCAACAGATGCCGGTCCCACCCGCGCTTGCGTGGGCGAATGTCCAACACGCTAAGACACGTGGACGGTCTAAAATGAGCGGTTTAAAGGGGCGTGGGAGTAGCCCAACGACGCGGGACGGTGACGTTCGGAATTCGGCAGGTTGTTCGTAATCCGATTGTACAATAATTACCAATCGGTGCTCGTAAATGTATAAGTGAAAGTGTATAAACTCGATTTGTGTATTGTAAGTAACTGAGAGAGAGTTTAGTAAATATAGTTTTTAGTATTGATTCTTGCATTAGCCTTTGACCTTGCAAAATGGGAGTATTTATAGTGATACATATGAAATGGGAGCCCTTGGATGAAGTGGCACGTGGCCCCATCTCTTTAGTTCAAACATCTTTTCCTAGGTATGGGGCTTGACTTGCTAGCTTGCGGCGCATTTATTGCTTGTGCAGGGCCTCCATGCTAGTGACAAGACTTGACCTTTATGCTTATGACAAACGTTCCATCAATCATTCGAATAAGATTTGTGCAGGCGATCTCTTGGGAGAAGTGACCATGGAGGATGTTTCCTTGTGGTTAGGAGGCTCGTGCATCAACTTCGGGGCTTCGCCCATTTGACAAATACTTCCACTTGAGGACCTCAGCTACATCCAACAGGTTCCATGCCTCGGGTCATGGGCCTCGGCTTGAAGCACTTCGGATATAACCCACCTCGGCAAGAATGCCACGTGGATCAGGATGAGTGGGCCATTGGCCCAGGTGGATAGAACAAGTGTGACAACACGCAACAATAGTCCCCTAAGTCCAAGTATAATCATTAATGTAATGCGTGGACTTTAATGGAGTAAAAGTTGAAAGAATTTTTGAACCCCAAATAATAGTCCCCCAAGTCCAAGCATAGATATTTATATCATGGTTGGAGTTTGAGAAGTGTTGCTGTGGGTGAATGATGAAGAAGCCGAGGTGGTTGAATAAACCGAACCTATGAGGCTTGTGAAGGCTGAATGGTGAGGAGAGAAGCCGAGGCGGTTGAGGAAATCGGACCTGCGAGGCTTTGATGCTGAATGCCGAAGAGGAAGCCGAGGTGGGTGAGGAACCGAACCTGCGAGGCTTGATTGCTGAATGGCGAAGAGGAAGCCGAGGTGGTTGAGGACCGATCCTGTGAGGCTTGCCGAGGTGGTTGAGGAAACCGGACCTGCGAGGCTTTGATGCTGAATGCCGAAGAGGAAGCCGAGGTGGGTGAGGAATCGAACCTGCGAGGCTTGTCGAGGTCCAATGGTAATGATTGTGCGTTGGTCGCTGTGCCAATGATTTGATGTTTTGTGCTTGTTTTCTAGGAAAGGTAGATGAACCGTTACGACTTCCAAGGCGCTGGCGCCATCGAATTAAAAATGCAATTATGAGGGTAGCTGGCGTTTCTAGAAGCAGACGCGTTGGAGAGGTGCGTGGGAGGCACGCATAGATCGGAGGCGTAGGATTTAAAAAACTGTTTGAATTCAACGCCTCGGATTGGATTTGAAATGGAGGGCTCGGATTGACTGAGATTTGATTTGACGGCTGGGGTTCGTCTTGGACCTTTATAAAAGGCGAGAAAATCCCAATTTTCAGGATTTTTGAACACTTTGCACTCTCAAATTCTCTCAAATCTCCCATTTTTTGGCATCGAGGTTGTCTGCGATTAAATTTCGACCAGTCTCTGTTTGTGTCGAACTCGTTTAGGTATTGTTTGCATAAAAAACCGTTGTTATTGTCTTTGTACTGACAAAATGGAGTCCACTTCGGGTAGGGAGCTTGTTACAGTGGCGTCTTTAGACCATGGGGTAGGTCATGGGGGGATGTCCGAGGTGGATAGTTATGCCATGGCCGAGGAGGCTGTGGATTATACCCAGGAGTGGGGGGCTTCTAGAGTGCCATCGAATATGACGGGGAAGAGGTTAGGAGAACTTAGGGAAAGATACAGTGTGCCTCATAACATAGAGATGTTAGTCCCCGAGCCGAACGAGCGGGCCTGCTATCCGAAGCCCGACTGCGTAGCCGTGAGTGAATACCTGTTCAAGGCAGGTATGCGTCTTCCTCTGCACCCCTTCTTTAGGGCGGTGCTTAGGAAATTCATGCTGTCGCCGACCCAGGTTCTGTCGAATGGGTGGAGCCAGCTGGTCGGCTCGTACTTCCTGTGGAAGGAAGTGTCACTTAGGGAGGACATGCCTCTTCATGTCTTCATGACCCTGTTCCAGCCCCGGGTAATTGGGAAGGAGTTAAGGGGGTGGTACTACCTCACGCCTTGGGGGGCTCACGCACCCTTTGTGGTAGGACTTCCTTCCTCTATCAAGGGGTGGAAGGAGTCCTGGTTCTGGGTGCGAGGTAAATGGCAGGCAGTGGAGGGTGACAAAGCCCTGTCATGCACAGTACCGACCCAGTACTACGAAGCTCGTGAGTCTCCCGACCTCTGCTTGTATTTTGAAGTCAAATTATGAATTCGTCTAACTGTTGGAGGTTTCTTTACAGATAGTAGTACGAGGTTCGAGCTCAGCAGGGAGGAATTCGAGGTGATAGAGGACATTTACAAGAGGCCTCTGAAGCTTCGGCACTTCGATCACCTGATTGATAGAAGCAG